TTATTTCAAAGAAACTAAAGTAAAACTCTGTCAAGACGGCATTTTAGAGCAAAATTTTTTAAAGTACCTTTAAGTCAGATGATTTCTAAAGTTGTTTTCAAGTAAAATACGTTCATTTGGCCAGTATCAGAGTATAAAACTTTCAAAAGAAAATTTTGCAAGAAGTGAAGTTGGTTTAACAAAAGCATTAGTTCTTTATTCAGGTAATCTTTCTGTAATACACTGAAAAGAATAACTGCTTGACAAAAAAAGATAATTGTTAATTGATAATTTTACTTTTTAAAGGCTTAACTAAACAAACGCTTTAGTTTCTTCGCTGAATTCTCCTATTAATAAAGGTTATTTTCAACCATATAGAGTCATATAAAAAGTAGCTTGTAAATTATATCTTAGTAATTCTTAAGATATTTTATCGAGATTTATAAGAAAAAGTGTTCAGATACCTTATTGTCAGCAACAAATTACGTTCACATGAATTTCGTAGACTTTTTTTTCTTTAAACACTATTTAGTGGAATACTGAAATAATGTTGTCAGTCAAAATATTCAGCATTATTGTCATCAGTGTGTAATTTCTGTAAATCTTTAATGAAATATTTGCTTTAATTTATCCTATTTTACGCTAAATTCTTGTACGTGTAGAATGTTCTCGAAATAGTCGCTACAATAAAAAAACAGATAGATACAAACTATAAAAGTGCTAATTAAATGCTTTCATAGCAAGCCTGTTAAAGCAACTGATGGTTCACATAGTGCTATTAGGTTATTAGCAGACAGTTATTTTTATCAATTTTTTTAAACAAATGAATTAGCATTTGCCATTATATTACCAACAAAAAAAAAAAAACAATAATTTGAGCTGAAAAAATTTTTTTTTCAAATATGCAATTCTCTTTAGAACAAATAAAGTGAATTATTCAAAGATCTTAACAGTTTTATTAACTTTGAATACAATACATTCTTTTTTCTCTGGTTCTTTTAGATTTCTTTCTAAACTTTATAATCAATGCTAATTTTTTTGGCTTAAGTAAGAGCAAAAATTTGGTCTATATAAGTGATGTCATTGCTAATCTGTAATGCTAAAAATTCAAGCTCTACTCGATGGTTCTGCGCTTTTTTTACCGCACTTAATCATAGAAGAAAAATTGAAGTAAGTAAAGAAAGCTAAACCGTTGATATTTTATGGTTTTGAGCATAAATAAAATAAGTATAGAACTGTCAACTGGTCTGGTTACGATTAAATTTATTAAACCGTATATATTAAGCACAAATAGAAGAGAAAAATGAGTAAAAATAATGCGACAGAAATATTTCAGCTATTACTGTATACAATTAACAGAAATAACTGTCGCTAATTCTTTATATCAGCCAAACCCCATTTAGAAATTTATTCATAGCTCAGATTTGAGTTTAGTTGTTTTTATTGTGTGAAGAAAAACCTTTTATTTTTTTTATATTTCATATGTTCAGTTTGTTTCGTCATTCGTTAACTCCATCAGTCGATGTCAAAGCATTTATAAAATTACTGGTCCATGAAATAACGTCAGGATTTACTGTTTTTTTATCCAATATCTTCAGCAGCTGTATCTCAGTTTATGTTGGTGTAAATTTTTATACAGTTTTGATTACATAAAATTTCGTCCAATAAGTCTAATGCTTTTAGGCTGCATGATTACTGGTTCACAAATTTACGCTCAGTAATTTGTCTGCTGAAGTTCGACCACTCATCAAATGAAGTTGACATTTTTTAACGTAAATGATAGAGTACTTCGTTTGAATCAGTTACAGAAACCGTAGGTAAGCCCGTTTACAACAGTTTTTTTAATTTTTTCTCATTTCAGCTGCTGGTTTAAACATTTACATCCGAAACTTATAAAGGATGCATTTATTGGCACTAAACCGAAAATCGTTAACTTTTTTTCTATTTCTTGTTCTGTATTTTCGTTTATCCTACCCAGAAACCAAACTCTAAAAAATTCTTAAAATTAAAAAACATATTGTAGGAAATAAGTATAAAAAATTAGTTTATTAGCTGATCAAACAGTTACTACGTTTTTTAAGTAACAAACAGTGTTATCAAGCCATTTTTAGCAATGTTATTTCACTTTAGTAAATACTTTAACGAAGAATTTTTGCTTATCAAATTATCACTTATATTTAACAGACATGAACGCAAAGTTGAATTACAAGCTGTACAATAACTATGATAAATAGTTGAATAATAATATTACAGCCAATATTTTCATCGGTAACTAGCAATGTCATTACTGCGGAAAATGATATTACAAGAAAAATTTGATAAAATCACAGTTTTAGTTTTCAGACGTTAAGGCTAGAAAATAACTTTATCATTGCGCTTCAACTTTTTTCTCATTCTTCAATAAACTAACATAGAGTAAATTTTCTGAACAGCAACATTCTTTTCAGTATTTCTGGAACGAATATCCTGGCGAATACAAATCTATCAATGACAAGAATAGTAATAAACAGCGAATGGAAAGATGTAAACCGTAGAGCAACATTTCATATTTATTTGATAGTTCCTATATCGAATGATTTAACCAAAGAGTCATCATTTTTTGCCAATTTCTTTTGC